GTGTTTCAGGTAAATTTTGTCATTTTTTTGAGTCTTCCACAGTTATTGTTGCATGTTTTAGGCAAAGAAAATACCAAGCATGTTTTCGCATATCATGACATATGAGCAACGTATTGAGAACCTGAATGATGAAGAAGTAAACGTTTTTTTCAACAACCAAACCATATACTGTCGCTGGATCAATTGCGTCCAGATGCTTTTAACTACAGTTTCTTGTGCCACTTATGCACTGGTTGCCGTTATGCAACTTATCCGGATTGAGGATTTGGCTTTCTATGAAAATGAGCCGTTTATGCACGACTTGTGGTACCCATTTCGAAAGAAAGAGCACATGCAATGGGTGGTTTTCATCAACATGGTCATTATCGTACAGGGAACCGTCTTTAATTCCACGACACAAACGACGTTTATCTGTTTAATGATTTATGCGACCACTCGATTTGGGGTTTTGCAAATACGCCTGAAGAAGTTCGATCGCATCGCTAGAAAGGAATTTCAAGGAAATATTCTGAGTGTTATTCGGGATTTGATTGTTGAACACCAGGAGAGCATCAGGTACCAAGCGCATTTTACGTTTTAATATATGTTATTTTTCGACGGTGGACAAATATTTGCTAGTAATAACACTTCTGGAACTTTAGTCGGTAAATAACCTTATAGATTTAAACTTACTTTAGGCAGTTTAACAGAATGACTGCTACCTTATTACACACTCAAATAATTTATACAAGATGTTCCGCAGGAAAATAATCAAACTGGTACTGCGGCATTGTTTGACTCAATTGAAGACGTTTTGGACTAACTTTTACAGAGCAAAAACTACAATTTTTGTCTATAAATACTCGGCAAATTAAACCGTCACCTTTATAGAACAACCCGCTAAGGGTTGTTAATCTTTGATCCTTCAACGGTCAGGTATATAGAATAGTGGAACGAACTAGTGGCTTCCCAACTCAACCAGGAACCTTGAATAGAAAAAGTGTGTATTACTGTAAAAGACCGCAAATTTCCAAAGAGCTGACTCTTGGAAAGCACCTATGAGGAAGCGTGGAAATTCGCCAGCTTTCTGAAACGACAAAATGTGGGCTTTAGGTAAAAAAAATTCTACGTTGTTTCCACGGAGAACATTAGTAGAACAGGTGTATCTGAGGCTTCTCAAACACACAAATTACTCAAAATTAAAATGTCGAACTAATCCTTTTTGAGAGAAAAAATTTTGAAAAAAAAAGAGTTTAAATTCCAGATTTCAAAACATATACAAATAGATCATTTCTCATTACGGATCCAGTATGAATGACGATCTTTCGAGACTACATAAATTTGGGAAAAAACATAGCGATTGTTAGATTTTTTGGGAAGTTAATACGGGAAATGAGTGATCGAAGTGAGTGCGGGAAGTGAGTGCCGGTAATGAGGGCGGGAGGTAGAGGTAGGTAATATGACACTTTCCAACCTTCAGTGTCGTTAGTAATTGCATATATGGTTGTAAATAAAAATATTTTTAATTAAAGTAATTCAACAGTTTACGCATTTAAGCACCCGCGGTATAAATTTAGTAACAAAAAAAATACGTCTTGACAAAAGTTTTGCACAATTAAGTGACGATTTTGGGGTTTCTTCATTTTTTCAAAATTTTATTAACGTGGATGCCAGCGGATAAAGTCAAAAATGTCTTCCAATACTATTCAGAACACCTTTATACTATAATAGTTAAACCAGCTTGAATGTGGTCTGATTATAAAAGCTCTAAAGCAATAAAATATCTTATATCTTCCACAACAACGGTTTAATTATCTTTACGTCACCTGGCTTTGTTAATCGTACATCACATTCTCTTAATGTGGAAGAAAGTGGATGGTTAGATAAGTTGCTGCCCAACATGCATATAATGGCCGACAGAGGCTCCAAGTATATTGACCAAATGGTTATACAAAGGCAATGGATATTAGTGAGACCACCTAGTGTAGAAAGTGGTAAAAAATTAATAACAATGGAGGTATTAGAAGCAAAAATAATAGACAGTTTTCGAATACACATTGAAGAGTAATCAGACGATTGAGATAATTTAAAATGTTGATGTGTGTCACACATCGTTTAATTCCTTATTTAGATTTTATTATAACTATTGCTTCTGCTCTAGTCAACACTCAAGGTTCATTAATCAGACGGAAATAGAGGTTATAGAAATAAATTTAAACGTTTGTGTAAGAATTTTCAATCAATGGTATACACCATTTTCTCATTCTGTGTTCGATGAATGTGTTATTTATTAGCCATAACCAATATAAGTAAACATAGATAATACATTAAAAACCACCTGAATCAATGTGTTTAAAATCTATACTGTGCCTTTTACCATTGAAAATATGTTCTCTTCCCAAATTGAAGCTGAATGTTCAGTAATTGGCGCAAAAATCGCATTATCATAATCTACATTCTAATTATGAATTTTATTGTTTTTTTCAAAAGAAGGGTAAACAAGACAAACTATTCCCTACTTTTTGTTTCGTCGAAACATGTGTAAATCAATTTGGGCCTTGTACTTATTATTAATTTTATTATTTTTAACAAACGTATAATGGCTTGTGCGCAGTAAGAGATTTGATTTCAACTACACAATAGTGACTAATTCCACCAGGCTAAGCCCAATAACCCGATAACTGGGATAAATCATTAGGTCACTAGCCATTAGGGACTCTCCCAGTGGCTACCAAATTCCATAACCGTTCGTGCAGATTTATAATATAAATAATCCCTTCCGATAGGGTTGGAACCCATATGTGTGACTGCGCATGGTCTTCACAAAATGCCATCCGAAGTCTGCCAGCTTGACTGAGATTCGGGTCTATTCGTAACTGTCAGGTTAATTTTAACTGTGTATATTTTCCTGACTATTTCAACTTAATTCAAAAGAAATTCCTGGATTCCATTCAATTTTATTGTTTATCATTTAAAATATTACAAATGCGTTTCGCTGTTTTTTTCCACCATCATCAGTTTGTCTAAAATATACATTCACAGTCGCCATTAGTTTAAAACAAGAGCTCTGTTAAAATATATATACTAAATTACAAACATATTAAAAGTATATTAAAATCGTTTGAATCACTTGGGATTATAGGTGATGAGTCAAGATAATCGTGTTCGGGAAAAGACTGGAATTAATTGTTTATGCCTTCACATTTGGCAAGCCTTTGAAATGTTTTTACTTTGTCCAATATCGAGCGAAAGAACAAAAAAAACTCTTTATAATGTTTGGCATTTTTCTTTGCATTCCGAGGATATCACTTGGTGTGCATTTCTTTAATATACCAGCATGTTTGGACTTGAACGGGCTTTCGGAAATCTCGGGTGCAAGCCATCAGGATTTACGTGCTGATGGCCCCACAGCGAGGGTTGCTTTTATACCGCCGAGAAAGGAAAAATCCAGAGGTCAGGTTTATTCATTGAAGCCAGCCAAAAGGTTTATTCATTGACAAGTTCAAAAATACATTGACAAAATAAGCAAATGAACAACGCCTTTAAACGGGAACATTACGGTTTAACAATAAAATAACCTAGCCTTAAGGACAGGTAAATGGTTGTTGCCTACATTTTGGCGACAAGATAACGGATCTATTTTGAAGAGTTTGGGAATTTATTCCGATACATATTTGTCCGCACTGGCGATGATTTATATTTAAGAAACTGAAATGGTATTTACGAATGATATTAAAATTAATTAATAAATGCAATGGTTACAGAATTAAGCTTATAGGAAACAGGGGTGAAGAGGTGCGTAACGGGGTAGTTGCTGCACGTGACGACTTTTAATTTAGCGGTCGTGAACTATACTTATTTATGACAATTAATTATTGTCCCGGCGGGTCACGATAAGGCGGGATTTTGCCGAAGTAAAAAAAAGAATAAAACGATTAACGTACTCGGAGTGAGTTTGTTCCTGGCAAAAACCGCCGAGGTCAGGAGGAACGAGGAGTTTGCAACACTCTTTCCCCCTGCCCGAAGAGGCCTATACCCGGAGCAAAACGGGAAGACCCTATCTTGGTAAAACCGCCGAGGCCAGGTGGTCAACAGGGAGTGTGCTCCCATTTCGCCTGCCCTCGGAAACTATACCCGGAGCAGGCCTTGTGCTACCTTCTCCTTACCTAGTTTTTTGCCTTGGTAGTAGGAGATCTTCCTTCTAGTGGGAGCCTTTTCTTGGTAGGGATTGTTCTCGAAAATTCGCGACGTACGTGCGCGATACGGGTACGGTTGAAAACTAATATTAAAAAGGTAGATAACTAGCCGGCTACCGGGGGCCCTCAAAAATGAACATTTACATATTTCTGGCTGACATTTGCCGGACAGAAAGAACCTTTAGTCGACCTTCAACGAAATCGTTCGTGGAATCCGGCATGGAATTCAGTAATTGCTACATCATCGCAAATAAAATCTAAAACGCAAATAAATGTTTCTATTGGGCCCTTGAAAATTAAAATTTGCCTAGCGTTGGTTTCAAATTAACCGGAAAGAAAGAAAATTTTAGTAACCGTCGTTACAACATAACATAACCTTTGTACCAATGTACTAAAGCTCTATAGGAATTCCGGCCTATTCCACGGGCTGGTAAAAATCAAACTTGATTGTTGAGGCAGTTGGTAATGATTTTGCTGAGAAGTCCCGGTTCCCTTTTTAAGGATAACTAATACCGCCAATTATTCTTTCCTCGAGGCATCTGTTAAAAAGGAACAATCGGTGCTTTTGCAATAGTTTTACCTCCGTTTTTTAACATTTCTTCTGGTAGAGAATCTACTCTTACTCTAAAGGTTAATTGTCGATTTTATGATTAGCATTAATGTTGAAGTTTTGCAATTTACGCGACATTTGGAATCATTATTAAATTATCTGTTTCCGAAATTTCCAAAGCACTCACTAACTACAATAACTTGAAAATTACACTTGCAACAAGAGGATGCAAATAAAAAACATTCATTGTGCCTATTATATTTGTATATAGAAGAACTGGCGAATAGCAAAATGATCAACTCAACGAGTTTTTCCTTGCAGCTTCGTTAAGGCCTTAAACGACAACACCAAATACGTGATGTTATTAGAATTCCTGCTGAATTCGGTCGGTTTAGCTGCCGGAATAATTCAGTTGGTTGTGGTGAGTATTGTCTATTTATAACCCTTGCGTTTCCAAGGATTTTAGGATAAAATCTCGATATATTGGACAGAAAAAATATGTCATTGTACGAATTAATTCCAGAAAACCACAACTGGTGGCTTTGTGGCATTTCTGACCATCGTCATCTTATTGTTGTCGCAAATTTTTATTCTATCATGGAGCGCCAACGAAATTTCTTTGGAGGTGATAAGTTAGCTTAAAACTCGAAGAGATTTCAATTCAATAAAACAAAATTCCAGAGCTCAAAGATATCAGACGCAATTTTCGAGAGCAATTGGGAGGATTATAGCCAACGAATCAAGGCGTATTTTATTACAATGAGCATGGGCGCCCGGAAGCCTTTAGGACTGACTGCTGGTCCATTTTTTCAAATGAGCACGAATACAGCTATCAGTGTGAGTATCATAGAATAGAAAAGGGTTCAAAAAACAACAGGCCAGTGGACGCACTTTTTCGCCTTTCAGACGGTCAAAGTGGCCTACACTTATTTATCGTTGATGCTGCAAAATTTTGAAGTGTAACCGGCTATAAGGACTGGAATAGTAAGTATGGCAAATGCTACTTTTAGGGGCATCTGGAAATAAAACATATAGCAAGCACATGGTGTTTTTGTTGCATTGTTTCCAAATTTTTGAAGGCTGAGGCTTTATTGTATGACTATGTTCAATTTACCATGTTCCTTTGTATATTTGTGAGAAAGTGTAAAATACATACAAGCGCTTGGTGCCCGAAAGGTTTGGCATATTAAACAGTGTTTCACGTTAAGTTTTATTGAGATTTTGGGGCCCGATCATGGCAATTTGGAATAGAATTTTTGACCAAAGACATATATATTCAATATTCAATAATATTCAAGGCCAACCTAGTCTCGGATAATATAATCCCGGATAAATCGAGATGTATAAAACATCCTGAAATATTAGGGAGTACCATGTACGATCGATCTTGTATCGAGTATCGATAATCACTGAAATGGATAAAATTACTTCAATCAATATTGGTTATTAACTCAAAAACAGTTGAAAATCATTACATAACATTTATATCGAGCAGGCTTAGAATTGTGCGAATAGTTCGAATCTGCAATGAAAGTACGGCCCTCCATTTATAAAAAGGTAAGTTTGGTCTTCCACTTGACTTTGAGACACCCTGTGTCAATAAGTATTATCTTAAAATAAACTAAACGTATAAACTAGAAATATTTAACAGTTATCTCTAAATCTCAAATTAGATGTAAAAACGGGCTGGTCAAAGTTCAATCAATATTGGTTATTAACTCAAAAACAGTTGAAAATCATTACAGAACATTTATATCGAGCAGGCTTGGAATTGTGCGAATAGTAGCAATATGCAATAAACGTACGGCATTCCATTTATAAAAAGGTAAGTTTGGTCTACCACTTGACTTTGAGACACCCTGTGTCAATAAG